CCGAGGCTGCGGTGACCGGGAGCGGCCACTGCACTCCAGTCTGGGCGACAGAGTGAGACTCCAACTCAAAAAAAAAAAAAAGACTTCAGTAATGTTATTTGTAGCCAGGTGTGGTGGCTCCCAGCACTTTGGATGGCTGAAGTGGGAAGAATGCTTGAGCCTTGACGTCTGAGACCAGCCTAGGCAACACAGTGAGACCCTGTCCCTACAAAAATAAAAAATCAGCCAGGCATGGTGGCTCACGCCTGTAGTTCCAGGTACTTGGGAGGCTGAAGTAGAAGGATCACCTGAGCCCAGGAGTTTGAAGTTGTGGTGAGTCGCAATCATGCCACTGCACTCCAGCCTGGGTGACAGAGTGAGATTCTCACTCAAAAATAAATAAACAGCCGGGCTTGGTGGCTCAGCCTGTAATCCCGCACCTTTGGGAGGCTGAGGTGAGTGGACTGCCTGAGCCCGCGGGTTCGAGACCCGCCTGTGCAGCAAGACCTCATCTCTACAATAAATGAAAAAATCAGCCGGGTGTGGTAGCACATGCCTATAATTCTGGCTACTTGGAAGGTTGCAGCGGAAGGATCACCGGAGCCCAGCAGGTCAAGGCTGCGATGGCCAGGAGCAGCCACTGCACTCCACTATGGGCAACAGAGTGAGACCCCAACTCAAAAAAAGTAAAAAAATAAAAATAAATAAATAAATTTGTTGGAAATACTTGACTATTTTCTCTTCTATATTTTTAACATATAACAAAGTGCCTTGAGCTCAGAAAGATTTGTTGAAGGTGACTGTTTCTACTGCATATAGAACTAGTACCTCCTGTGTGCTCCTCATGGACACATAAGTTTGAAGATGCCTCTGCTTCCGACCTCCAAATCAGGCTGGCAGGTGACTGGCCTTTACTAGATCTATCTAGAATGCCAAGGACATGGCGGCCAATTGTTTCTTCAACAGCTGCTGTTGTCTTCACAACTTCTAAGAGGATCTTCAGAAGTCTGTTATTAGCTTTCTGGAGTGCATACCTGTGTAGATAAAGAAACACTTACTGAAATGTTTAATCTTGTTAAAGCAAACACTTTACTCATGTCCCACAAGAAAATGTACTGCAAAATATTTGATTTGAAAAATATCAAATAATCCTCTCCATGAAAATAATATGCAACAGCACTTACAATAAAAACTTTGGCCAATCAGTTTAACCACACCTTTTTTACAAAAATGTGCAGTGTTTAATTGACATAAATGAAATCAAATAACTAAACTTTTAAGTTAGTAATTAGGCTAGAAGAAAATTTTAAGGAGACACAAAATTTAAGTTTTTAAAAATGTGGTAGCGCCAAAGCATATGCAAGCTATCCAACTGGTCATATTGTTCATGGTTATTCACATATATTACATACATTTAATCTTTTCATGTGTGAAAGATAAAAACATACTTTAAAATCTCAACAGAAAAAAATATATGGTAGTATTTCTACAACTTCAGGGTAAGGAACAGGATGTTTAAATTATAAAAAGTGGCCAGGCACGGTGGTGCACACCTGTAATATCAGCACTTTGGGAGGCCAAGGCAAGAGGATCACTTGAGCTTGGAAGTTTGAGACAAGCCTGGGCATCATAGAGAGACCTTGTCTCTACAAAAAATTAAAAAATTAGCCAGGTTTGGTGGCACTCGTCTGTAGTCCCAGCTATTTAGGAGGCTGAGGTGGAAGGATCACCTGAGCCCAGGAAGTAGAGGCTGCACAGAGCCATGACCATGACACTGCACTCCAACCTGGGTAACACAGTGAGACCCTGACTCAAAAACAAACCAATAACAAAAAGTAATAATACAAAGAGAGATCTGGTTTTTAAACGTCTATAGTGGAATTTCACTATCTGCCAACACCAGAAGGATTCATAGGCTTTTTTATCACATCTGCTTCAGGGACAGAAATTTTTCAAGTTACACACACCACACTCATTTCAGTTAATAGGAAGAACTTATTTTCAACTAAACAGAATTAATGATGTGTCTCTCTTTATTTAAAGCAATACATTCTTTTTTTTTAATTAGTAAATACTGGTAGCCATCCAACAGAAACACCTCAGCACTTGATCACTATTAACATTGTAATACCTGTGTTTCTAGATTTTCCCCATCTCTCTCATAAACGTTTACATTATGAAAGCAAAAATGGGATCATCCCAAGCAAAGTGTGTTCTGCTCAACATGAACATTTTCCATGTCAAGAAAGGTACTTCCCTAAGTAGTGATTCAGAAGATTATCTGGTTAATTTTCTGAGTAACTTAACAACTCTCTTGTCCCAATAGCTTAGTTCAATAAAAGTGCTACAGTATCAAACTTTATACCATACACATGCAGACAAAATAAGTGACATTCATAGTAAAAGACCTCTGTCCCCAGACAGGTTTATCTTTCAATTTCACATTGTGAGAAGTTGCCAGCAATCTGGTTAAAGAATATCTGTTTTCACAGGCACATGGCATATCTATTTTAGGACAAGATAATAAATGGAGATATTTCCTTTAGTATTTGCCAAGTGAAAAACAAAGTTCTATTTTTATACCTAGATCAAGTTCTTGTTTATATAATCAAGAATACTAAAAATAAACCTCTAAATAAGTTAGTTAGTAGGAAGTAAAGGGTTTTATTTCCTTAACTTTTTCTGAGGTTTTTGTTCTAGCCCCAAATTCCAGGACCAGAATAATGCGAAAATATTTATATTTAGTCATTTAAAAGAAATGACTAAAATTAATATGGTTACAAAAACTAATATGATGTTAAAGATAAATACTCCTTTTATCAGCATTCACTATAAAAATTCCTAAAAATTAAATAATGATTAGTTTCAAAATATACCAGTTAGAGATAAATAATATAAAATAAACAAGATGTTTATTTTATATTGCTACGGTAACTCTATTTTTCATACACTGTCTTTCTTGTTTGAGTTCCATACTGACTGTGTTCCATACTGATGATCCAATGGGGAAGCCAAAATCTTAGGGGCCAAATTCCTCTATGCAAGCTGAGGAAGGAGGTTAGAGGACACAGAGGGTTGACAGTCACAGAAATTGGAAAAGGAGGAAATTAAGTTAGTAAATATTAGTTTTAATGTAAACTTAAAGAAATTATTTTATGAACAAAATGAATTTTAAATTTTGTGCTTAAATTCCTTAGTATTAATGTGGGATAACTATGCTCCTTACTATTTTCCACTATTATGTTAAGCTTTACAAAATCAAAGTAAGAAAAAGTTTTATTAATATCAGGTATTAATTTATTCCTGCATAAAACTGGGATATGGGTTAAAAGTTGTCATCTGTTATATAGCAAATGCATGAAAGCTAAATGTATAATATTTACATTTATAGCAATTTTTTCTCAACATAAACAAGGGGATAGCTTACACTGAATTCATGTATATACAGTGAAGGAATAAAGTTGGAAAAAAGAAGGAATAGAATAGAGTTCACAAGAAGAACTGTTTTTAGGATACAAAATGACATGTAAGAATAAAATTAAACAAGAAAGGATTGTATTCAAATACTTTAACATTTAGAATTTAAGTATGTGATTAAGAGCTGCTCAGAAATTATATTATCAACAAAAGACTTTTAAAAAATTGCTTATCTATTTAGTGATTGAAGATTAATAATCCTTTACATACTACACATTTATGGACATGTTTCATTCACAAATAGTATGATGATTAAGACAAAGTATAAATATGCAAGATAAAAATAAGAACAAAAAGTTCATTACATTACAACAGCCATTTTAATTCACTTTGCACTGAAAAAGTGTACATTTTGTATACCTTTCATTAGACGGAATATCAGGAGGTACATCTTCAGGTTTTTTGTCCAATTCCTTTTCTTTAAACATCTGTTCCTCAACTTCCGCTTGGTTTTCATTTCCATTCTGTTTAAGTTTGTGCAAAGGTAGAGAGGACAAAACAGAAAGAAATCCTGTCATCTTGGAAACAGGAAGTCCTCTTCTATGTGGGTACGAGGTGAAACAGAAACCTCTGTGCACAAAATTATACTGTTTGGAATAATAATTAACTATATTTTATCAGGAGATTCGAGTTATCAATAAAAGATAAAACATTCTAGTGCACAGATAAAAATATCTCAATGGGTTTAAATGAATGCATGCTACAGTGCAATTAAAGTTCATTAGGTTGCTCCTTGGCAAACAATGGTTGCTGCTAGAGCAGTGCCAGATTCAAATGACCTTAAATGGAGTGTAAGTAGTGTTTTGACTCTACCTACCTTACATGTAAGAAATCACAAACATGCTAAGCTCAACACCTATTAAAAACACATCTCACACCAATAATGAAGACAAACAAATACTACTCAATTGTTGATCATTGCACCTAGGTGGTCCATACTACCTGTGTTTGCGTACTGCTGTTGCGCAGCTCACAACACAGCTTCTCTCTTCCAGCTAAAGATAGCTGCTTTAGTGCTGCCAGCTCCTCTAAAAGCACCCTCTCTCTCTCTGAAATCAGGTTTTCATTATCTATGGAGGATCTCTAAATGAGAAAAAAGGTCATGAGAGAATATTGTTGTGATAGAAGAAAAGAGTAGAAATATGAAGCAGATTTCCTTTAACCCCCTGGGACCACAGGTCCTGGTTCTATCTGTGATTCACATTTCATTATAAGGGGTTAAAAGCACATACAAAATTCAATGCAAAATTTGAAGCGTTAAAAAAATGGACAAATATTCAGGAATTTGTGCAGTTCAATTAATGTGATTATGTCTATTTTGCATTGAAAATTAAGAAGTCTGAATTCACAAAATGTGATACAGAAAAGCAAAATTAGTTTTTCCAAATAATATATTTTCTGCTCAGCTCCCAATTTTCCTATTAATTTATATTTGAAAGAATATACGTTAATAGTTCTCTATTTCTTATTTCTCTTTTTAGTTTTGGCTTTCAGAATTAAATTCAATAAATTTATTTTTATAAAAACTTTTGCAAATATGCTTCTTGCTTTTCTGCATTGATTTTGCGAGTATATTTTATACAGCAATTGATAAGAGCCCAGCTCCCAATACCAAGACATATTTACATTTAGTCAAGAAAGGGATAAGAATGTTATACAAATTTGCATTTTTTGAATCAAGAATAGATGTTTCCTTGGAGAAATTTCCAGAAACATACTACTTCAGAAGATTTCCATTCATGATTAAAAAGATAGTTAAAGATAGATAAAGGTAAACCTTGGAGATGTGCTAATTGGTAGACACAGCTGCATACTTTGAGCACCTCAGCACAAAGTGTTTCCAAAACTGTCAATGTGCTTTTGGTCAATGAAATTATTTTAAAAATTTAAATTTGTAGCCAATTTTTCAGTGCCTGAAAAGGCAGTTAAAATAAAACGATAGGAAAACAATGTATACTTCGAGACTGAGTTAGGTGTTCCCAACAAGACCTAAAGATGCTATGCTGGTGAAGTGTGTTCCTGGTATTAAGTATGTGCAGTTTATTTATATCTTGGCAAAATAACACACAAAAAATTTTGAAGCCTACATTAAAAATACTGTTATTTTAATTGGGAAGAAAAGAGACTGTAAGTCCCATACCTGGGCTAATTGTCTATTAAGTCTCTTAATCTCTTCTTGCAGTTGCTCCTGGTCTTCTCGCTGTCTCTCCATCTGGCGCATGTGTGCCTGTCTTAGCAGTTCTGTTGCCTGCTGATGTTCTTGGTACTGTCGTACAAGCTCCTGCCTCATATCTTCCAATTGTTCTTCATTTAACATTAGCTGTCTAGAAGCATCCACGCTTGATGCCAAAATTTCATCATGGATCTTTAATAGTTAAAAAATAATTCAACCATAAAATTTTGTGGAAATATGTCAGCAATTATATTTTAAATATATGAAAGCAATTCTACTAATGCCATAAAGCACTTGACATTTTATTTTTATTACTAAACAAAAACAATTACTTAAAAAGGCATTTTTCCTCATCATAATTCCAAAACAACATGAATTGTCACTATATGCTATTTACTAAAGCAAAGTTGCTATTTATCAGTTAGTTTAGATATAATCTAATTCTACAGAAGAAGAATAAGGAAGATACTCAAGATTTCTTCTACTCATAAGAAACCATGAAGCTATAACTCCATCATTTCTCTTGCTATTTTATGATAAGATAATATAAATGAACTAATTTATATTTTAAAATTAAATTTATAAAACATGAGAAATTTTACCTGTATAATTTATATTATGTAATCATTATCACAGTACTACAGAGAACTGCTTGATTAAAAAAAATGTTCAATAAATTTTATTCAGAAATAAATGTTTTATAAGCCAGTTTCCCATACCCATAAAAAAGTTAACTACTTCACAGGTTCTGTAAAGTACTACAATTTCTGAAGCAATATTACTTAAACCCTGCTGACTTGAACAGTTGGTGGTAAACTAAAAAGGCTTTCATGAACAACTTACAAATTTTACATTCCATAAAGAGTTGACAGTTTTATATGAATATCTCTCTTTATAAAATATAACCTCGCTGGGCTCGGTGGCTCAGTCTGTAATCTTGTGCCTTTGGGAGGCTGAGGTGAGTGGATTGCCTAAGCCCGTGGATTCGAGACCCGCCTGGGCAGCGAGACCTCATCTCTACAATAAATCAAAAATCAGCCGGGCGTGGTAGCGCACGCCTGTAATTCCGGCTACTCGGAAGGCTGAGGCGGAAGGATCGCCGGAGCCCAGCAGGCGAGGCTGCGGTGGCCGGGAGCGGCCACTGCACTCCAGTCTGGGCGACAGAGTGAGACTCCAACTCAATAAATAAATAAATAAATAAAATATAACCTATCCTGAGCAATTAATAAACAATCTGAATTTAGACAATGTTAAAAGAAGTGGGATTTACTTCTTTCTGTTAAAGGAGGTAGAGGTTGTGGTATAGATATAGAATAGATCCCTCATTAATGAATAAGAAAAAGAGAATTAACATATAGAGAGTACAATTCTTCAAATTGCCTTCCTAAATAGGCAGCTATTTCCTTGTAATATTAATAATCTAACTAAGCAAAACCTTTTTTCAGATATTGCCAAATTGTAGTGTAATTAATCTTGAATTGGTCAAGACAAAATGAATGTAGATATAACTTACAATGAGATTTTACCATGTACAATGTCTTTAGGACAAGAATATTATGAGATTTATTTTATTTGATCCTGATATTAAGTCATTTATCCATGTATCTTACAAGAAAGAAAACACATTAACAATGTGAATCATAAGTCAAGACCGGATTTGATACTTTCCTCCGCCATTAAGCAGCATTTCTACTAATATTTCTATAGTGAAGAAAGTACCAATTTTTTATAAGCTTTTTATATTTAGGGAGGCATACTTACAGATTCTCTGCCTCTAATTGTTTTATCTTTGGAGAACATTTCTTCTGAAATTGTCAGTTCATGGTCCTTTGATTCCAGTATATCATCAAGACCACCATTTTTTGAAAATAGAACTTCCTTTACATCTTCTCCTAACTCTTTACTAAGTGGTTTGAATTCTTCTTTAAATTTCACGTCCGTTGCCTCAAAATTCTGAAAACCAACTTGACTCTGTGATAATCTCATTTCATTAAGATAATGTTGTTCTTTTTGCTGACAGAGAGACTGTACTTGCTTTGATGATATAATATTTTCTTTTCCCTCAGACACTCTAATTCTAGATAGTTCAGTTTGTTGAGCAAATGCTATACTCATTGACACAATGACCTAAAGAAGTAAAGCAAACAAAAGATTCAATTTCTAAATAACAGAAGGAATTTAAAAAGCAAGTTACTAAAATTATATGAATAGAAAAAAGCACAGCCTCATTGTTTTAAACAAAAAGAAATCTTTAATAAAGTGATATGAAGATTTAAAAAATTATCTACAATGAACATAATGTCACAGTATTAATTTTATGTGTCTTTAAAAATAAATTTTTTCCTACTACTGCAATAAATGTTCAGTACAAAAAAATTAGAAAATAAAATTAGAAAAATATATTTATCTCAAGAAAAATCAGTATATGCTAACCAAAGTTTCTCAGGCTAAAAGGAAATAACATCAGAGGGAAATTTAAAATTTAAACAAGAGTAGAACACACACTCTTTTTTAGTACGCATGAAGCATTCTCCCAGGTAAGATCATGTTTTTGTCAACAAATTTAAAATAATTGAAATCATATAAGGTATGTTGTCTGACCACAAAGAAACTAAAACTTAATGTATTAATTAATAATAGGAAGCCATCTGAAAATCTCAAAATGTGGAAATCAAACAACACATTTCTAAAAAACCCAAGAATCAAAGAGGAAATCCCAGGGGAAATAATATATTTGAATAGAATAAAAATTTGTGGAATGCAGCTTTAAGCAGTGCTTACAGAGAAGCTTATAGCATTAAATGTATATATTAGAAAAGAAGAAAAGTCTCTCAGGAATGTAGAAAAATTAGATCCAAAGCAAGCAGAAACAGGGAGATAATATAAACTACCAATGATGACTCAAAAAAGAAATTGATAACCTGCATAAAACCAAATCAATTAGATAAACTGGATTCATAGCTTAAAAAATAAAAAATTCCCAACAAAGAAAACTCCAGGTGGCATTCACTGGGAAATTCTACAAAATACTTAAGGATGAAATAATACCAATTTTACATAAATAAGAAGAAAAAGAAAGTTACAGAAAATATAATAGAAGAGCTCATATTTTAGCATTTTGTGAGGCCAGGATTATCCTGATCTCAAAACCAAAGTCATTACAAGAAAATAAAACTACAAATAATATTCCTCATAAACACAAACATAAATATCTTTGACAAGATATTAGCAAATAGAATCCAGTAACATTTAAAAGGAGGGCGCTATCTCCAAAGGGGCATAAGGAAACTTTTGGAGGTGACCAAGATGTTTTACATCTTGATTGTGGTACTGGTTTCACAATGGTGAACATTTTTTAAATCTCACCAAATTTTGCACTTATAATTGATGAATTTCATATCTTGTAAATTATACATCAGTAAAGATGATTACGAAGAACACCACAGACCTGATCATAGGCTAGAACACAAAGGAAGGTGTTGAAAATTTAGAAAAATCTGTATCATAAAGATAACTTTCTTTTGTAAATATATTTATACCAGCAAGAAATGTAAGAAATAATTACAAGAACAAAACAAACCTGACTACCTTGTTATTCTCTCCTTTCCTTTTATTACCCTGTCTAACAAAATCCCATCTCTGATGGCAGTTAACTCTACCTACTCTGTGTCTGTGGAACTGAACTTAACTGAGAACGACGACAACAATCTACCCAGGCTCACTGGTCTCATTTTAAATTTGTAACTACTCCCCTTGAAATGGACCCTTAGTGATACCGGGCAACTCTACTCAACTTCTCGTCTATTCCATTTCTCATTCCTTTTCTCTCTCCTTAAAGCTCCAACATCTTCTCTTTGTCATTCTCAGGTGTTGACTTTGCTTCTTATTTTAGTGAAAAAACAGAGGAAAATTACTAAACGAGAACTTCTACAGGCCTCAAATATTATATTTCAAAACATACCTGAATAATGAACCAAATGTTTTCTACCATCCTTCCTGTTATTATAGTTTAAACTGTCAAGCCTCTACCTAATGGCAACCATTCACAGTATGGCATCCCTTCTTATCTACTCCAGAACACTGCTCCAGGGCCAGGCAAGGTGGCTCACACAGGCAATTCCAGTACTTTGGGCGGCAGAGGTGAGAGGATTGCCTGAGCACAGGAGATTGAGACCAGCCTGAGCAACATGGCTAGACGTTGTCTCATAAATAAATAAATAAGTTAAACAAGTAAATAAATAAATAAATTGCCAGCATGGTGGCAGTATGCTTGTAGTCCCAGGTACTAAGAAAGCCGAGAAAGAAAGATAGATGGCCTAAGGCCAACAGGTAAAGAGTGCAGTAGCTATACTCATGCTACTGTACTTCAGCCTGGGTGACAGTGAGACTCCAACTCAAAAAAACAAACAAAAAAAAGACTTCCGGGCAAGCTGGCAACGCAACAGGTCAGACTGTGAGAGTCTCCACAAGAGCGAGTGTCCATAAGGACTCTCTGCGTGAGTGGGGATGTGCCAGTGGGTGAATGAAAATCTGTCTGAGGGGAGACTCTGGTTCATGCACCTGGGGCTCTCCTCCAGAGGTGACTGCAACCAACCACCCCCGAGATTGGAGACGCGGGTGTGCAGGATTGTCTGCTGTCCTCGGACTCTCTTGAGAGGAGGCGTCAGAGAACAACCGCCCTCACCACCTGGCACCCAGCCCATGCCATCACCTGTAGCAGCAGACTTGGCATGAGAAGGCAGGTCACAGAAATCTGGAATGAAATCTGGAATGAAGCTCCAACAATAGTGACAGGACACTGACAGGCACCATCTTCTGAGTCCCAGACAGAGCAGAGACTTGCACTGCCTCACCCAACTATGTCCAGCCTCCATCTTGGGATCCAAAGGCTATTATCTCATAGGACTCGGAGAGACAGACGCCCCTCCCCCATGATTAAACAGGCACAGATATGTCAGATCTCAGTAGCAGACTTGACAACAGCAGCAGCAGCAGAAAGTAGGGTGAGTCCAGATCTTATCCCTCTTTCTCCCACAGTAGTCCATGGGGCAGCTGACCTACACTGAGAGCTAAGTTATCAGCCTATGCTGAGAGCAGAAGGAAGGCAGAGCTGCTCCCCATGGCAGAGGTCTAAAAGGAACCTGAAGCCACAAAAACTGCCAGAGAGTGAGACTTTTTTCTTTCTTGTTTTAGTTTTAGTTTTTTTCCTTCTTTCTTTCTGCTTTTGTTTACATTTTTTTACTTTGTTTCTGTTATTGAAAAAAATTATTTTTTAGATTTTCTGTTTATGTATGGGCATTTTTGAAGAAGAGTACACCAATGGGGTTTTTTTTGTTTGTTTGTTTGTATGACTGTCTGTATGTTTTTGTCTTTATTGTTTTTTCTTTGTTTGTCTCTCTGTTTATTTATTAGTTGGTATGCCTGTCTGTTTTCCCTCTTCTTCTTCATTCTCTCCAACTCCCTTTCATCTTCCTCTTTACTTTCTCTAATCTTTTCCCTTATCATTTTGCTTTCAAGGGGCAAACAGATATCCCCACTGCATGAACAGATTGTAAGGCAGAGAGAAGTGGGTTCCAAAAGGCCCACACACTTGTCAGATGATACTGGGTTCTGCAGATAGTTTCTGAATCACAGTCCCCCCACCCCCATTAAATCTCAAAACTGCAAACAACACAGGCCCCAACTCCTAGTCCAGCTTCAGAATTGAATAAAACCAGAGGATCTACACAAGGAAGAAAAGGAGATTGAGCAAACAGAAATAAAAGTTATCCCTTCAACACTGAAAAATAGAATCAAAGAAGAGGTAAAGAAATGGGGAGGAAAACCTCCAAAAATGAAGAAAAAAACAAAGGAAGAATATGCATCAAACACAGATCCCTGGAAGATCAAACACTGAGAGTACAGACTCTGGAACTCAAACAATGAAGAGCACCCCAGAATAATTGTTATCAAACTACAAATCCAGATATCAAGATATTAATAGAGAGAATACATAGAAATGAGGAAAGACAAGAGGAAATAATGGAGGAGTTGATAACTGAGATAACAGTAATAAAGAATAAAGTGATTGAAATAAACAACAACCTGACAAGAATGGAAAGCAGAAGAATCTCAGAGCTTGAGGACCAAAATATAGAACTAACCCAAACTGTTAAAAACATAGAAAAGAAGCTTAAAAATAAAGAACAAAACCTCCAAGAGATGAATGATTATATCAAGAGGCCAAACCTAAGATCAATTGGAATGCCTAAGGTAGATAGGAGAGAGAGAGATACCACCCTGGAACAAACATTCCATGAAATTGTCAAAGAAAACTTCCCTCATCTTATCAGTGTTGTGGCCATTCAAACAAGAGATTCAGAGAACCCCTGCAAGACAACAAATGAGAAAACTGACTGCCAGACATAGTAATTCGCCTACACAAGGTAGGTATAAAAGAAAAAAATCCCAAAGGCAGTAAGAGAGAAAGGTCACACTACCTACCAGGGAAGAACAATGAGATCAGCGCTAGACTTATCTACAGAAACACTTCAGGCTAGAAGAGACTGGAGCCCAAACATCAAAGTTTTCAAAGATAAATAATTTCAACCAAGAATTAACTACCCAGCTAAGCTAAGTTTCATCAGTGATGGAGAATTAGAGCCTCTACACCAGCTCTACAAGACACACTTAAGAAAGTATTAAACACACAAGAAAAGAAAAAAAGAATAACAATGTACTTCACAAGAAGGCAGGAAAAAGATCGTAAACACACATGAATCAACCCCCAAATGAAAAGAAAGACAACAAACAAACAGCAGCAGCAACAACAACAAACTCTGTAAGAACCTCAAGACAGGGATAAACTCTCATATCTCAATAATTAGCCTGAATGTGAATGGACTAAAAAGACTGAAAAGACATAGAACACCACTGAAAAGACATAGAACAGCAAATTGGATAAAATATCATGAGGCTACAATATATTATCTCCAAGAGACTCATCTCACCAGAAAGGACTCAAAGTAAGAGGATGGGAAACAAAATTCCAGGTGAGTGGAACACAAAAGAAAGCAGTAATTGCAATCATAATATCAGACAAAATACCCTTTAAGCTATCAAAAATTTTAAAAGATACAGAAGGTCAC